GCGACCAATACGCGCGTGAACCGACGAGCGTGATATCGAAGTGAACCGATGAACGTGATATCGAAGAAGTCCGTGATAAGCAATAGATGCGCAATTCATACTCCGAGTCCTTCATTTGTGTACCAAATGAGGCTGCCGGTGTCCGTCCATTATAATATAGCTTTCACTGATGATTTCTCTCTTTGTTTGTCCAAGTTTGAACAGGTTGATATCACACGGGATTGTCCGGGCCACGGGCGCGAGGCAAAAAGGGTTATTTGGCTCCTTCTCGGTCCCAAACACGTCTATGCTTCTTTTTTTCCTTCGTTCTTGCCACCCTTTGCGACATCTGAGCCCCGCCCTAACCGCCTCAAATCTCAGTGCTTTCCCGACGTCCCATCTACTTTCCGTCCACCATGTCGTCTCCGAGCTCTGCGTCGGCACCCAAACTGGACGACGAGGCGATGAAGGATCTCATGAAGACCATGCTCTATCATACTCTACTCGAGAAACGACTCGTGCCTCCGAAGGAGCTAGGAATCCCACTCAAACAAGTATTTCCCGGGGACTGGAATTGGCACTTTCAAAGAGCGTACCATCAGAAATACGATGACGATGCAGACCTTGAGGCCTGGAAGAGGGAGAACTACGACTTCGGGAGGATTGCGTACATCGCGGATGTACCCAGGTGCAATCAGGACATTGTGGGTACGAGCAAGGTGTTGCTGGAGAAGGAGGGAGAGCTCGTGGCACTGGCAATCGAGCAGCTCGTCGATCGCGACTTTGAGGCCGCGTGGGGGACTCTGGAAGTAGAGACAAAGCGGGACCTCGTGTTGGACGGCCTAGTCCGTGCTGCATTCAAGGCGCGCGAGGAGAGTCGCTTCGACTGCCCAGAGATGTCGCTCTTTGGTCTTATAGGCGACGGTGAGTACAACCTCATCAATCTAGTGAGTTGTTATTCTTGCTTTAGAGTCCCCAATTCATCCCCGTCCTTCTTGTTATATAGCTCAAGGTCATTGTCGCGCACGACCCCACCGGGAACCTGCGCGTCAAGTCGCTCTATCTGTTCACCCATCCCGCCGTCGAGCGCGAGTACAGTTACACCACCAACCCCGATACTCTTGAATCTCTGCGCGCGTTCGGCTATCTTCGAATAATCCAGCGTAACCTCTACATCGTGCAGGCCCTCATCGACATCCTCGAGGCATATGTACGTCCTTTCCGCATTCTGCCCCGCCGCGATGCCTAATTGCACACACAGGCTGGCAAGCCTGCCCCCAAGATATCGATAAATCAGGAGAGGGAGTCCAAACAACGCCAGTGCGAAGGGTGCTAGGCGTGCGGCGCTACGCCGACTGAAGGAGTTGCGCTCAAGAAGTGCAGCGGGTGCAAGCTGGTTTCGTATTGCTCCCGGTATGCGACGACATCCGGCGCGCCTAAATCACTGACCCATATCTTTCCTAGCAGGTGCCAGGTGCGCGACTGGGATGAACACAAGAAGCTCTGCGGCAAGCGCCCGATGAAATTCGATCCCGCACTCGTGACCCCGACACCCGAGGCGCCCCCCGAGTTCATCGGCTGCCCCGCCCCCGCCCCGGGCTTTGTGCGCAGCCCGATGCTGTGGCGGCAAATATGGTACCTCAGCAAGGAAGACTCGTGCACCCGCGACTATCATGTAAGCTTCCTTTGTTCGTGTCGGTATCGAGACTTACGGTGTCCGCAATTATTCTTGAATTTGCTTCGCAAATGACATCCACGCGCGCCTCCATAGTTCGATACGACACCAGGCCACACGCGCTCCATCCGAATCCCGGACCCCGTCTGTGCGCTTGTCCCCTCTCACCCCAATTGATTGACTAACCGCCTGCCCCGTCCATGTAGTACGTCTCGTCTTCCTCGTCGCGCGCCGCCGCGCCATGGCGTCCGGCGGCCGCGGCGCTGTTTGCAAGATGCACGACGTGCTAAGCCGCCTGCAGCGTGCGGGAGTCCTCGACCTCACCCCGGAGCAGATTACCAGCCAGCTCGAGCGCGAGTACCGCGTGGCGCTCAGCCCCGCCGAGCCGCTCGGCGCGCTTCCGACGGCGCAGGAGATGTGCGAGGAGCTGGTGTATGCGGGTCGGCGCGACCATCTTTCGAGGGACGCGGAGTGGGAAGTAGCGGAAGACGTGGTGGGTGGAGAGGATGAGGATGAGGAGGACGAGAGTAGCGAGGGCGTGTCGGACGAGGCGGAAGCGGAGGAGGACACGGGCAGCGAGGGCGTGGCGGACGACTCCGACTCGTAGATTCTCGTGCGCTGCTTCCGTTTTCGGATTGCGCGTCTTTCTTGGGCCGAGCAGACGAATAGTCGGGGGGGTATCTCGGTTAGCACTCTTCGGGTGCCTAAACCACCACACTTTTTGGTCAAGGTTGCGTCTACCGCCTGTGGGAAGCGCGTTATTCTTTCTTGGAACCCCTGGCAATGTCTCTGAAATTCAATTATAATCAAATAGTCCGACTCACGCCAGATGAACACCGGGATTTCGTAAATATTCTTTTGACAGAGAATAATCGCGCTCACCAGTCGGGCTGTTGTAGCGGGTACAGATCCATCTGATCCCCAAGGCTTCCATTGCGATGTTCTGAACAACCGTCACTCCTGCGTAAGATCCTCATCTTTCATTGTGAACGGTGGGGACTGGGGGTGTTGAACTAGAACTTGCCCGCCCAGGCTTCAGCCATTTTCGCAACATTTTCAGATTCTGGATCGATCCGCGCAAGGCCGTACGTATGACGAGTTCCAAGGTCGAATATCGAAACGCCAAGAGCTCATTGGATATTGAACGAGTTGCCTGTGGGTGACAAGCGCGCTGCTGAAGTAGTAGTTGAGATGGACATGGGCGAAAGAAAGAGGATCTGTGCCACGTGGCGTCCGGTGATTGTCAGTTGCATACTATATCGCGCTGGGATCCTGGCCACCTAAGGGGTTTGGGCCTGTTTTCGACTTTCCATGGGGGTTTTCCCAGGTTCGTGGACCCTAGGCAATAGGCGCGCATCCTACGAAGAGATTGAGCATATTCATGATAATTTTGGTGCCGTTTTGAGTGCCCAACGAATTTAATTTTCAAAGATTTCCCCAAAAGGTAATTGACAGGGATCCTGGCCACCCTCAAAAGCCCATTGTTGGCGGCGAATGAGGGCCCACGCCGTTTACCATAGTGTAAATTGGATCCATATGATGTATTTTGGGCACTTATATCATACATTGGACCTTGCAAAAGTATTGTAGCGGAGATATTTTACAAAGGCCCTCGGCGGCGGGATCGATAATGTCATCTAAATCGGGTTGGTGAACCAGTGGTAACACATTGTAGGTCAAAATAAGTGACATAGAGGTTCATTGGAACCCAATGAACTAACCTGAACACATACCTCTACTTTTGAGGTGTACGGTTGAGAACCCGACGTTTAATCTTTTTTTCGGGGTTGAATGGGTGATTTTCTATCTGCATTCGTATCAGGAGGCAGGGGGAAGTGTTCGAGTGGTGTACTATGGAGTATATTGAGGCCTCACCTATCATGATGGATACTGCAAGGTGTTAGAACCATAGTCTTCAAGAGTCCATTGGTATCTCAAATTTCAGAGTGCGAACATTGAGTTTGTATTACAGTTGTGTTGGTGAATTTGGTGATGCAGGGCAACTTTTCCACCAGGTTCTGCATGCCCAGAAAGAAGTCCCAGGGCCTAGCAAACGAATGAGCACCCAAAGTCCCGGATCCACCGCGCATTGGTTGAGAAACAAGCGAGACGGTCGTTCGGGGTTAAGAAATTGATGTTCTCACCCTTCGGACCGCGATCAACCCGGGCACAGTGTTGGATCAACTCATCACTTTGGGTTGAAATTTGGTCTCAAGGTGCGCAATGGGTCATATTCCATCATGTAAGTACAAAGGGGAGATATTATATGCTCCAGTGTCTTATATTTGACCTGTGGCCAGCTTCCTAGTGTGGCCAGGATCCTAGTCACTGATAGTAGCCATTACACTTCAACTTCACTGGCAGAAATCCGTCAACCGAAACACTCCTGCATACAGGAATTCAGCGGGAGGGAATGGGATGTTCAAAAAATTAGAACGGATAGTTCGTAAGTGGGGCCTTCTGGGGCTCCAGAGATGGTCTGTGGACATTTGCCAGTGTTGGCAGCAAACTGCTGAAGTTATGATCGAGAAGTAGGCACAACACCAGCGATCAGCGCCGGTATATATAAAGGAACTAGTAGTAAGAAGGATGGGTAGAAGGGCAAGTGAGATGAATTGTGTCCTTATGCGAGGCTGATGAGCGAGATCGATCAAATCCTGCGCGTGAGTAAATCCAGTAGCAATCAGCCCAGTTGGCATATGGCAGTGAGAGTGAACGAGGAAACTGCCTACACTAAGGCAGTAGGTATCTGGGAAATTCAACAATTCAACGAACTAGGAAAAAAAGACGAATGCGCCAGTAGAGAAGTGACTCGGGCCCGAGTCGAACAGGCGTCTTCTGTGGTGCGTAAAATTCATTATTCAAATGTTATGCAGAAGCGGACCATCCGCCACCGAGTCGCTGTTAGGCCTCAGTCTGCTGGATAAACGGGATTGACTTTTGTTTTGGGTCGATGAGCGATTGATCTAAGAAAGGCAACAAAAGGAGGAGAGAGAGAAAAAGAAAAGCGCACCAGCAAAAAAGTGGCTCGGGCCTGAATCGAACATGCGTCTTCTGCCGTGTATCTATCAGAACTCTTCCCCATGTGATGCAGACGCGGACCATACGCTACCGAGTCAGTGTTAGGCCTCAGTCTGCGCTGGATAAACGAGGTTCAATTTGGTCTTGGGTCGACCAGTTGTTGATCTTGGAAATTGTGCGCCTTTAGGGGGCATTAATTGTGCAGATCTTCAACGTACACGGAGAGCGAGGATGTTCGTGATCGTGCGTGAGACTGCGGGTAGTAGGAAATGTCAACATCAAAGAACGATGATGAAGAAGAGGAAAAAGAGTCGTTAAAACAGCAAGACTCGGGCCTGAGTCGAACAGGCGATTTCTGCCGAACGGCCTTCAAATTCCAAGTTAAGTGCAGACGCGAACCATCCGCCACCGAGTCAGTGGTATCCGTGAATCTGTCGATAAAACGAACTAGGGAATACAGTGAATCAGATGTTCATCTATTTGTGGGCCGGTGACCGAAAAGGGCCGATGATAGGTGGAGCTGATATGAAGAGAAGGAAAAAAGAAGAAAGGAAGCTGGGGCTGGAGTGATTCGGGCCTGAGTCGAACAGGCATCTTCCGCGCTGCATTTGACAGAATAAGTCCATGCGATGCAGATGCGGCCATCCGCTACCGGGTCGGTGGTACCTGTGAATCTGCGCTGAATAAATAGGGTTGAATCTGCGCAACTCGTATGTGGAACTTAGTCCGAGTAGATGCTGCTATTCTGGAACATACATATGTAGTCATAGCAGTAAAAGTGGGATGAAACTGAGATCAAGATCGATAGCAGGTTACGCTGAGGGCATGGCAACAAAAAGAGAAGAAGAGAGTGGAAGAAAAAGGGAAAAAGGAAAACGTTATTTGACGCCGACAATAACTCGGGCCTGAATCGAACAGGCGTATATCAAGCGCTATTTGATGATAGAGAGCAGATGCGGGCCTAGTCGGTGGTACTGTGAATTGCGCTAATAAATGCATGATGAGTGGGGCAGGCGTCGACACAACTCTGATTGCATGCTGGAACGAGACTATCACTCATTATTCATAGAGTTAACTACAAATTTACGACAGGAAGTTTGCGGATGCAATATTAATGTGTAAGGATTAAGGCATGTGAGAAAAAAAAGTCAAATAATCAGATACGGATGAATGACTCGGGCCTGGTTCGAACAGGCGTCTTCTGCATTATGTCTTCGCAGCGGAGTAGAATACATGTCGTCAGATGCGGACCATCCGCCACCGAGTCAGTGATTAGCCTGAATTTGCACGGGATAAATAGGATTTAAATCGAGGATGATTGCAGTAGAAACCACCTCTGACTTCGCTGCACAAACATTGAGGTCAAGATGGAAAGATCATGGCTGACTCCTGGATAATTGGGTGAAGAGTTAACACGCGAGATACGAGCGTATTATATTAAAGCGTCTGTCTACGAGAGACTAGTAAAAAGTCGGCCCCCGATGGGAAAACAACAAGGCATTGAAGGCAAGAAAATTTGAAGAAATAAAGAAAAAAAGTGATAGCTTTTCGCCAGTGACTCGGGCCAGAATCTGGTATAGATTGTGGGTACTGACTTTCCGCAGCCGAGTCGAAATTCGGCCCTAGTCGGCGTGAATAATCGGGACTACAACTCGACGCGCCGAATGCGATCCGCATGTGATCGCGCTCTGCGTGACTGTGACGTGACCCTGTCTTTTCACTACTTCATCATGCTCTCGCTGCTCTGGCTCCGCGCCTTGTTCCTCCTGCGCGTCGCACCCCGCGCTCCCGCAAGACTATCTGTCTTCCTGCGCGCGCCTCTCCCCGCCTTCTACTCTACCGCTCCGGGGAACGGCCCCATCCGCCACAATGTCTGGTCCGTCGTCGTTCTCTGACTTTCTTTCATTTCGCTGACTTCCCTCGTTTTCAGCTTCAATTGTGCGTCCGTTTATGGGCCTTTGACTGCGTACTGACTGGGTGGACGACGGATGCAGGCCGCCGCGAGGGCCATCTCGCGAAGTACTGCAAGGAGCCGACGATCTGCATTGCCTGCGGTGTCGAGGGACATCTGGTGCGCGGCGTGTCATAAAACATGTATCATACCTGCCGCTCACTCACTTTTATGCCCTCCGAGCTCCACAATTGCCCGAAACCCGATCCCGTGCGGCTTGAGGCACTCAAGACACGGCCAACCCGGTGGTGCGGCTCCTGTTCTTTACCTTTTGCCTTCCGGTATCATCCTTGCTCACGTTTATCTCTTCCTTTTCTTCTTTCATGCAGCTTCCGCTGCGGCGAGCTGAGCCACGCCATCGGCCAATGCCCCCAGCCCCCAAAAGTACAGTGTTTCTCGTGCGGGCAGACGGTGCGTCTCTTCTTCCCTCCCTCTTTCCCTACTATACTTATCCGGGAACACCGCTAATTCACTCTTTTCAGGGCCACTCCAAGAATCAATGCCGCACACGCCCGAACCGTGCCACCGGCCGCGCCCCGCCACCGCCTGTCCCTCCCTCTCCCACACTCGGGTTGCCCGAGTAAAACCCCTCTTTTCCATGGATTGAGACAGGGATCAAACCATTCACCGATGGGAGACCGACATCAAGTCGATCTAGAGTCAATTCGAAACTTCGGAACTCGAGGCCATCTTCGACCTACTGTATAACTCTCAGAATAGTATTTCTGTTCCCCCTACACCTCGAGAATCCTCACCCGATCAGCAAAGCGGTGCTAACTCGTTCCGTTTCGGACTTCGTGGGGCTGGCTTCGGGATCCGTCGCAAGCTGGTCTTGGGGATGCTGGAGCTCGTGTATGGATTTTCCCGTCACTGCGCGCTTGTTTTTCGGGGTACGTCGAGGTCACTTTACTCGAGCCCATCGGTCTGGGACTCGGAATGCATCTTGGCAATGGATTACTTTCCGCACGAACGCGTCCCGACTTCTTGGGTTTTCGTCTTCGTCTTCGTTTCCTCTTGGCGCACGCTCACTGTGTCCGTCCCATTTGTTGTGATTTTATTTCTTTTGCTCTGTCGGGTCCGTGCCTCCTGCCGCCCATTGCCACGTGGGCTCGAGCGCACCCGTTTATCTCGGTTCTCCTAGCACCAAGAACCGGCTCGGTGGCGGATGGTCCGCATCTGCACCTATTGTATCGTCCGCAGGTGCATGCTGCAGAAGGTGCCTGTTCGAATCAGGCTCGAGTCATGTATTGCTCTTTGTGCAGGGTATTTTTTTGCGTTTGTTTTTTTGGTTAAGAATTCATGGTGAGATTTGCTCAAGCTCACTCATCCCCGCCGCGTTCAGGACAAGAACCGACTCGGTGGCGGATGGCCCGCGTCTGCGATTCATAGTATGTAACCCAGAGGATCTGCAGAAGATGCCTGTTCGAATCAGGCTTGAGTCATGACCCTCTAGGAACAAACTTTTTCTTAGGGTGCAATATTATTCCCTTCTTCGATTCAAGAACAGGCTCATGCCCTCGATTTTAGGCCAAGAATCGACTCGATGGCGGATGGTTCGCGTCTGCACTTAATATTCCTTCGATAACAAATGCCGCAGAAGACGCCTGTTCGATTCAGGCTCGAGTCTTGACGCGTTCACTCATTTTTTTTCCCCTGTGGGATCCGCGATTATGCCCTTTCTTCAATTCAAGAACAAGCTCACGCATGTTTAAGGCAAGAACTGACTCGGTGGCGGATGGTCCGCGTTGCGATTCATAGGACGTAACCCAGATGATCTGCGGAAGGCGCCTGTTCGAATCAGGTTCCAGTCATGGCTTTATCTTCGTGCAGTGTATTTTTTTTGCGTTTGTTTTTTGGTTAAGAATTCATGGTGAGATTTGATTAAGCTCACTCATGCCCTCCGCGTTCAGGACGAGAACCGACTCGAGGGCGAATGGTTCGCGTCTGCGATTCATACAAAGTAACCATATAATCTGCAGAAGACGCCTGTTCGACTCAGGCTCAAGTCATATTGATTTCATTCCCTTTTTTTCCCGGATCTATTGGCGAAGTACCAAATTTTCTTTTTTTTGTAAGAGTCAACTCATTCGAAAGCAGTCTGAAGGAATACCCGATTTTCCCGCACTGCTGACCAACCTTCCGCCTGTCAGCACTCAGGTGCAACATGTCCAAATTGATGAGACACAGCCTTCAGCCTCCTTGACTCCGACACTCACCTTCATCGCAGGTACGGAGTCTGAATGCTACCAGCAGAGCTGGAGAGGTCGATCTTCGAGATTGCTGCATTCCACGACCCAGAATGTATGGTCAATCTCGTTCTAGTCGCCCGACGGGTTCAGATATGGTCTCTCATTTCCAATTGTTATCGTCCACCGCTGACACACATGACCTGCAGGATTGAACCACTAATGTATGAAGTGCTCTCAATTCATCCCTATGGTCCAACAGAGCGGATCTTTCGGCGTCCATTGCGCGCGCTGCACAACTCGATGCCACTATATGGCGAGCACGCGCGCCACGTGTGCTTCAGAGACATGTACAGGTCCGATGTCGTCGCCGAAGTCCTCTTCGAGTGCACCGGTACTCGCAATCTAGCATTTTTCAACGCGGCCTTCGACTCTCCGGAAACTGTCCTCCCCATCCTCGAAGCCTTGCCGCTGCAGCGCTTATCCGGCGTTGCCCTCGCACATCTGTTCCCCACGCCCGCACCAAAGGACTTCACCGATCCGCTCTGTGCACAGATCACGCACCTCGGCGTGAGCGACTACCGCGATGGCGGGTTGGACACCTGGTCTAGGATCGCAAAAATGCCCCTTCTCACGTGCCTGTCCTTCCATCAGGACGGTATCTCGAATTCCTTCTGCAAATACGTTCTGAAACGGTGCGCATCACTCGAAGTTCTTGTCATGGTGTGTGGGGATTACCCTACCCTCGTGTTGCGCGCGCCAGGCCGTGCGGAGCTCGCCGACGACCCGCGGTTCGTGATGCTGGTGGTCACGGACTTTACCCAAGACTGGGAGACGGGGGCACGCGGCGGTGAAGATTACTGGGTCCGGGCGCGGGCGTTAGTCAATAAACGTCGATCCGGTGAGATGGAAGGTACGGAGTTGACGCTGCTTTTATTTTTTATCACATCCTCACGCTGGTTCAGGATATTTCGCGGAAGAGTCGGTATGAATATGAGCCATTTATGTAAACTTTGGATTTGAAAGACGGCCAATGAGACAGTTTCTTCTGTCTCGGTGAGTGTTGACATGCATGCATCGTATTGGAACGTCAACAGGCAGCGTTACAATAATCTTGGATCCAAATTTTCGAGCTGGATCTACGGCGCCGTATCAACTTCAATTACCCATCTGTTGCGAACGTTGGATGTTCGGAGGGTTCCAAATCACCCCCCTCGGCATCGGGGATATGGAAATTCAAAAGACCAGGAGTACGGAAGTACATTACGATTCCTACCCAACGGCATTTCCGAGCGATGGAGTCGGGTGGGGATTATATCCAATGTGCAACCTCTCCGAAAGCACAACAAACGAAGCTATCCGTTGGAAAGATGCCCGCTCCTGCTCCTCCCCCAGGAACAACTGGCGTCTGAGAATTAACACAATACGCAAATTATGAGCGGGTGTAGGGCTATCTGCGCAGAGCGACTCACGAGTACCAGATGCCGATAAAACTTGGAAAAATAATAATAAACCAATTTGCTTGGTAGAACGTCGAAGAATAATACAGATTTGAATGGAGATGAAAATATTGTTAGTGTCCAACACACTTAATATAGGGATTCAACTGCCTGAGACCATGATATGCATGGAAGGGCAAGTCAACAAAAGAAGATAGAGAAAAACAAAACTTTGTGACCCGGGCCTGAATCGAACAGGCGTCTTCTGCAGAAAGCTTCAGTTACCAGTGATCAAGTGCAGACACAGACCATCCGCCACCGAATCGGTACCATTATTTAACCAGCGCTGAATAAATGTGATTAAATTTAGGTGGGCCTGATGAGCGAGCCTCGGAGTTTAACATCGTACGCTTGTAGGGGATCATGCGGATCTTCAGCGTCCACGGAATCGAGAAATCTTCGTGCGTGAGACTATGTGCGACAGCGAATAAAAGAGAAGCAATGGAACAAAAGGAGGAGGAAAAATTCTGTCGTTTCACCAGGCATAGGGACTCGGTCCTGAATCGAACAGGCGACTTCTGCACATCACATTAGGAAGATTCTTATAGAGAGCAGGTGCGGATCATCCGCCACCGAGTCGGTGTTAGTGTTCAATTTGCGCTGCATAAACGAGTTTGACTCTGTGCGGGGCCGATGAGCGAGGTTGATGTTTAAAAAATCGTACGCTTGTAGGGGATGACCAGCATACACAGAGACGGACGACATTCGTGCGTGAGACTATGTACGCCATCGAATAAACGGAAAGCAAGGCAACGAAAGAAGGAGGTGAAAAAGAAAAAGAAAAATTTATAGCAAGTCGCGAGTGACTCGGGTCTACTTTCCGACGAGCTTACTCAGTAGAATGGGAACTGCGATCTAACTGCCTCAGGTTACAATATTGAATAGAAGGGTAAGTCAACGAATAAGAAAGGGGAAAAAAGAAATCAGCTTAGAGCTTCAGTGACTCGGGCCTGAATCGAACAGGCGTCTTCCGCGGTGTATTTTGGGTATACACGACGATGTATATGATGCAGAGGCGGACCATCCGCCACCGAGTCGGGGTTAGTGTTCGATCTGCGCTGAAGAAACGAGAGTAAAGTTCTGCGAGCCTGATCGTGATGAACGGGATGTGGTTTATCTTGCGTAATTCATGCGCCTGTCGGCAGCCTCACGACATATAGGAACGAACGAAGAGGAAACTGAGCCCACGAAGGACAAATGAGAAAAGAAAAGAACAAGAACAAGGTCATGCGTAAGACGTGCGCGTGTCGCGACGAGGTGAATTTGCGAGTTTGCAATCATATGTCATTGATCGAGGATTTATATTGTTCGAATAGAAGAAAGAAAAAATGGTTCTCATGGAGTGACCCAGGCCTTCGAACAGGCGACTTCTGCATAAGTGGCATGCAAACTCTGATAGAGAGCAGACGGGAGCCATCCGCTACTCGGTGGTACCTGTGAAACGGTACTGAATGATGCATGATGAGTGGGGAAGCGGCTCGCGTCGAGACGATTAGATGCCGGAACGGGTCGTTATTTACGGGAGTAGATGTCCAATGTGGCTGAGGGAGTCTTTGGATGCACCATTAATTTGGAGGGATCACGGAGTCAAATCCCTAGAGTGAATGACTCGGGCCTGATTCGAACAGGCGTCTTCTACATGATATCTTGAGGAAACTCATTATCCTTAGCAGATGCGGACCATCCGCTACCGGGTCGGTAATTAGCCTAATTCTGAACAGGATAAATGGGCTCAAACCGATGAGTCCAGTACTTAGAAGGACATCCGGGAGGACCACCTTTGAGTTGCTTGGCTGACTAATCGGAGAGTGTAAAATACTGACCTTGGGATGAAAAACTCCTGGCTGACTCTTGGAAAAGCGGGAAAAAGGATAGCGCCCGATGCAGGGCGGAAAACAACAAGGCAAGAAAAAAAAGGGTACCGATTAGACTCGGGCCTGGATCGAACAGGCGACTTCTGCAGCATAATGGAAGACGTAAAAAATGCAGATATCTTCCGCCACCGAGTCGACATTCACCCCGAGTCAACGCGAATAATCGGGACTGCAACTCGACGCGACGCGACCGGCGGGCTCATCACACGTGATCGCGGACATCCGTGACCGTGACGTGACTCTCTTTTCCACTACCACCACGATGCTCTCGCTACTCCGCATCCGGGCTTTGCCCGTCCTGCGCCTCACCCCCCGCGCCCCGGGAAGACTCTCCGCCTCACTGCACACCCCCGTCCCCGCCTTCTCCGCCGGCCAGCGGCGCTTGCGGTCCGATATCTGGTCCGTCGTCTTTCTTAAGGCCCTTTTCCTCTGTTTCCGTTGACCCTCACTCATTTTTAGCTTGAACTGTACGTCCCATGAGGAAGCGCTTGACGAGGCCATTTCCTCCTATTGACCCGCTGCAGGCCGCCGGGAGGGCCACAGGCGCCAGCACTGTAAAGAGCCGACGATTTGTGTCGCGTGCGGTGTCGAGGGGCACCAGGTACACCATATACAATACCCTATACATACTGTTAACCTATTTGAACGCATCCTCAGCGCCGCGACTGCCCTTCCCCCGACCCCGCACGCCTCGAAGCGCTCAAGACCGCGCCCATCCCGTGGTGCGTCCCCTCCTTCTGTTACTTTATTTCTGCGTCTTCGTCGCGGGTGCTCACGTTTTCCCCTATCTCCCTCCTTCCTTTTTCCTTGTGCAAGCAGTTACCGCTGCAACGAGGTGGGCCACGTGCTCAAGGAGTGCACCAAGCCCCCTACATGCTACTTC